AAATCTAAATTAAAATAAATCTGATTACATAATTATAATTCATTGTAATTAATTATTTCTCAGTATATGAGATTGAAATTTCATAATCAATTAAAATTCGAGAAATTGGTTAAAATCGCAATTAAATTGAATTCGATTACATGATTATAATCAGTTGTAATTGATTGTTTTGTAGTACATCAGATTGAAATCTTATAATCAATTAAAATTTAAGAAATTGATTAAAATTTCAGATAAATAAAATTCGATCTGGGAAGTATCGATTGATTGTTAACCAATGAATGAGAGTAGAAAATTCTATATCCACATTGATTGAAAAAGTAACAATACTCTTGGCTGTGTGATATTCAGATAGTTTAATGTAATTCGAAGTCGAGGATAGTGTATCGTATATTTGACATATCTCATGAAATAATTCTTAACCAGTTAGTATCGATTTGATCTCAATCTTTTGTGAGAAATGAGAAGGATTTTTTCATTTTTAAGTTCAAAAAAAGTAAAGTTTATGAACTATGAACTAGATTTGGAAAACGAAAAAAACAACAGCACTGATTTGGTCTTTCAAAAAGTACTGTTTTTTCAATAAAATCTTGAACATTAATTAGCACAAACGACCAATCAGTAGCTGACGCTGTTTGTATATCACGAAATTCAAATTCCTCATATCCATCGAGTTGACATACTAATGGTGAAATATTGAGTACATGAGCAACGAAGAGAAGAGGCTCTCCATCATTAACAGTGAAAATCGATCGTATGCGTCCGAATGTCTTGTTTCCATTAAGAATAAAAAGTATGTTTGAATCATCAGAGGATTTTCCATGGGAATATGTTCTTGTAGAGAGACGAAGATCACCAATATGCAACGTGCTGTAAAAGTTTAGTTCTGATTGTGGAAAAAGATGACGAACAGCACAATCTTCTTTTTTATTTTTATGTCCAATCTTCATTGCTATTTTTTCCGGCTTATCATTGAAATGTAACAAGTGTGACTTAACAAAAGAACCAAGATTCGTTTTGCTTGAATAAATATAAGCATGACGTAATGCGTGTTGAAACAAGTTTAAATTGTTGATCATCTCTTGTCCTTGATTTCTCGGACCTCTCGTGGCATGAACAAGCATTCCTTTAAGTAAGAAAAACAAATTCATCGAAGTAGAAGAAAAACAAAGATATGCTTGCCAATGTCATTTTCAAAATTAAATGTTGTGTAGTTCGTCAATGGCCCAAACTGTTTAATTGTATCAGCTATATGTAGCACTGAATGCACAACCTGTACACAGTGTCTCTCTGTGTATAATTTTGAAAAGTTGATTACAAAATTGTGCGACAGCCGAGTGATGATATCCATATCCACTTTACGAATTTCTCGACCTTCAGCAAGGTGCATCAAAACGACAAGTTGAATTAGATGATCATAAAAACGTTTTGGAAGTATTTTGTAGAAAATTGCATGACCAAATAAGAGTAAAACTCTAAACTCATTACCTTTAAATTTCTTATAATCAAGAAGAGATCGTGGAATACGAGTAGTCGTTGATGGTAGTCGGACTCGCTCGAAAAGCTCATCTAATTTATTTATTTTCTCAAGTACACTCCATTCTTTCTCTCGACTTTTTGTACCAAGCCAAAGACCAATCATTCTTTTCTACAATGTATTCAAAGATAATATTATCAAATAAAGAATTTAGGTTTTACTTACGAACGTTCCCAAGTATATGTTATGAAGGCTATCGGCTGTGAATGAATAGCCAACATCAAAGTACTTCAGTTCACGAAATATGCACACCCCTGCAATGCCTTTTTGATTATGACTGTCAGTTAATTCATCTATTAGTTGGTTTTTTTTTGACCATAAACTTTTTAATTGTGTTTGTAATTGTAGTAAGTTGATTAGTTCATCATACTGTTCATTTGATCGCTTGCGAATAGTATTAATGTCATGTTGAGTAGTTGAAAAACTTCGAACATGACCATTGTTATCAGTTGGAACCATGAAACCTATTGCAATAATAAGTGACGTGTTACTTTATCTTTACTTCATAAATAAAGATAAAATAAATCTTTATTTTTATAAAATGAAGATAAAGAAAAGGTTACTTTATTTAAAAAAATAAAGTTAAAATATAGAATAAAGAAAAAGTTTTTCTTAAAAAGCGAAAATTTAATCTTTTCCAGGTAGACCGTCAAATATTATAAGGACACCGGTTGAAAAGATTCTGAAGAGACGTTTTATTCATAAACCTTTTATGCGTCACATTCATTTGCTTGTACCATTCCACATTAGAATGTGACTAGTGATGGGGAGAAGCTGTGACCAATATTTCCTGTTTTTATATCAATTATTCATCTATTTAGCGATGACTTGAAAATATCTTTTTTGTTCTTTATTTTAACTTAATTTTTTAAAATATAGTTTATCTTTATGTTTATTTTTTAGATATAAATATATACTTTAATCTTTACTATAGGTAAAAATAAAGTAATCCTCGTAATAATAATTAAATAAAAAAAAATTAACAAGAATTCCTGACCTTCAATTTCACATCTACCGCAGCCAAATGCTGCAATAGGTTCTACAATACACTGCGCCAAAGCCTGCGCGGGCTTGTCACAGCAGCCGGCTATAAGATAAACATGTATAATTTGCATGCCTTTATCCAACAAATTAAATGCTTGACCACGTTCTAGAAGAAGAAGTTCGTCAACGATAGGACGTAATAAATGTTTCATTTTATCTCGTGAAGGTTTGGATGGGCCAGGCCAAAGTCCAGCTAATATAATATTGTGAAAGGCAAATCTTAGATTCGGAGCAAGCTCGTTTATTATTAAGATGATCGGCCATATTGTTTTAATCGAACCTTTAGACGGTTGAATTCCGTCGATGTTGATTGTCAATGTCAACATGAGATTTGAATGTTGAGCACGAATTGATTGATAAACAGATGCATCACGAATATCACGGATTAAAAGATCTTTTTTTCGATAATATAAATCAATATCGTGATGATTAAAAAGAATATTTTGTAACTGATCTTTAACAGAAAAAACACGAAATGATGGAAGTTCAACATGATGAGTAGTTGAACAAAATTGACAATATTTCTTGTTCGTTGACAATTGATCACAAATAGAACAAATAAAATATTCTGTTGACTGTGGTTTGGATTTAAGAAGAAGACGTTTTACTTTGTACCAACTTGAAGGCGTATTTGATACGCGAAGGCTTTTCAGAAGCAAAATAATATCTTCAATACATTTTGTAGAGAGATTATGTTGTTTTTTAAGTAGAATAAGAGCACTTGCTATATCGATTTCATTCGCAGCATCATCTGCATCGAACAAAAGCTCACTTGCATTATGATTCTCCACATGATCTTTCAATCTGAATATAGAAAATTAATCAATCAAGAAATAGTAAATTTTATGTCTGACAAATCTTGCTCATCATGTTCTTGTTCATAAAGTTCTTGCTTAATATCATTAACATCGGAGGAATCGCTCGAATCCATTTCTTCTGTATAAGTAAATTGATTGTTATTGTCATTGTTTGTTGCGAAATCATCATCAGGTTGAAAAAGTTTTGAGCCTTACAAAAAGATACATTCAACATGAAAATATTAATTATAGAAAACAAAATCAACCTAATTCAATAGCTTTGTCTAGCTTTTGATGCTGGCGCCAAGTAGTCCATCTGCTCTGACTTAATGACATATCTTTAAGCAAACTGATTTTTTTGACAATAAATGAGTAAAAATTAAACTTTATTTATTTGAATATATCATAAAACAAAAAAAAACATAAAATATCTGAAATAAACAAGATTTTCTGCTGTATGTTCACTTTCGAAGAAGAATAATGTAAATAAAATCATGTTAGTATCTGTTATTGTTCGTCTATGAAGGATTTTGTATTAATTGACCACCCAATTGAATTTTTCTTGAAAACGTTCGTGTAGCAAAAACATTGCCCATGGCACGACGAATTTTCGATGCATCATTTGCTTTCTTTTCAAGCGGGTGCATTAACCAACAATATTCTATAGTTAAAAATAAAATATAATCGATAATATAAAAAAAGCATTTCACCTGTAATTGCTTGTATATGTACTTTTTGAACATCAGCAAATATAGTGGCTAGATCAGGATATTTTGCCCCAATAACTTGTCGAGCTGTAGATAGAATACTTTTACCAATATTGGCATGTAACTCGCTATCAGTCATATTAAGTGTTTCACAAATTGTAGTAAGTAAAATTTCGTTATCAATCGTATTATCAATGTGACTTGGATCGTCAATATCATCCGACAATACTTTCCCGGTATTAATAAAATATTTAATCGTGATTTTGTCCACAGGTCGTGCTATAATTAAAATATAAATACAGATCATCAGTAGGACTTAAATAAAACATAATCGCTTCTGATATTAAGTTCAAAGTTAATGTTGATGATTTAACACCAAATGAGATGAAGTCATTTATATGTAATAACTTCAAACATAGTTGTTAGCATTCATATATATGACTAGGACGCTAATATATCTATATAAATATATAAATATATATATATATTTTTTAAATTCAACTACTGCAACGACGTTTTTGTACAAAAACGTTTATATGAAACATACACGATCATGAGAGTTAACCAATCTAATGATAGACTCTACATAAATAGATAATACAAAATTAAATTCAGTATCTAAACCAATACGAGAAGTCGGACACAGTTAAATACCGAAGTTTGGTTATTACTTACGCATCCAAGTCGTTTGGTACAGTTCATTCTGCTCGTTTGCAGCGACCAATTGAGATACAATCTTTGCATAATCTTTTGCCGAAATAAAACCAATATGTTTCGGACGTTTTGTATTTGATGTAGAGGATTGATTACTTTCATTTGGTGAATCTTTACGTTTTGTTGTGATTGAAGATTCTGAAAATTAAAAAAAGAATAAATAGAAAATATTCTAATATATAATGTATCTCATTAACCTGTATTTAGACGTGGTGATTGTTGGTTTGAGAGATTGATTAAATCAGGAGAAGAAGATGCAGCTTCTTCTACAGCGTTATTTTCTCTCACAATTTCTTTTTTTCGTGATTGTACATTTTCTTTATTATTTGAACCTACTACATTATCAATATCATCGTCATTTTCGTCTTCCGCTTCCTCTTCGTCTTCACTTTCATCATCTACATCTTCTTCTTCTTCTTGTACTTCAATTACTTTCTCTATTTCTTCTTCTTCTTCTTCATCTTCTTCATCTTCTTCATGATCTGAACCGCTAATTTCGTCGTGCAAACTCTCTTCACTTTTCTTTTTTTTCTCACTAGCTTTAGTCGTTACTTGACTTTCTTTGCTTTTATTGTTGTTTGTAAATTGACTTGAAGATTTTCCCATTTTCTCGACAATTTGAAGAGATTGTTCACATTGCTCTTTGCTTCCTAATGATGTTTTAGAAGGTTTTAGTATTTTATTTTTGTGAAAATAAGTCTCTTACCTATTAAAACAACTTGAGCACGAATACGATGACCACGCTTTCCATGAGAAACAATATCACCAACAACTACTTTCGATAATTGTTTTGACGAACTAATTAATTTTCGTGCAACGAGGATTAGTTTGTCAGTAGCTAGATCTCGTACAATCATATATATATCATTATCTTTTATCATTGATGGTTTAGATGAAAGTGGCAATTTTTTTGCCACTTTCTTCGAAGAAGGAGCCATAGTATAAGATTTCGAACAAATTAAACCAAAAAGAAAATCTTGAATAACTTAAAACTAAAAGCATATTATATTATCTTAACTCAAAACGATTTAATATCCGAATTAAAACGAAAAATAATATCACATCAATAATATAAAATTAAATTATATCATTTTAACTTAAAACGAATTAATATCAGGACTAAAACAAAAACAATATCTTATTAATAACATATCATAAAGACATTCGATCATGCCCGAAAGGACTAAACGTTTCCACGTACATATCTCGTTGAATCATCTATCGATAATCGGCCAATGTCCACTCACTGTATCGCACACGTACACATACACACACATTCAGAATTTTCTAATGTGGCTGGAAACAGCCATTCATACTCAACACACATTTTTACATCCACAATCAAATATCCGATAAATATTCTGCAATAGAAAATACATTTCATGTATTTCATAAAAAACGATTACCAAAACAGTAACTCCCAAAGATGTCACTCTTTTACGCTACATCTAGTACGATTTAGTTATAAGTCCACATAATCCTTCAACAATATTCAAAGGCTCACGACGTTTATCTCACGTCCAGAAACTTTCAGTCAATAAATTGTACTTAACAAAATTCAACCAGATCCATTTCTTTCGCTCATCTCATTCATATTAAACTCAACGACTTCACCGACAAATATCCTATACTCATACATTTTAGTGTAAGGTCATTTGTGAATAAGTTATATATCTATACTGTTGTTCCAAAAAAATTATTAAAATTGATTTTCCCTTTCACTTTGACTTATTTTG